GATGAAAACACAGATCAGTAATGAGAGGAAATAGAGAGGTAGATACCTGATGATAATAGCCCACATCTCTCCGATACGCCATCTGAAAATAAGAGAAAATGTTTGAAATAGCTTAAAATAGTTTTATATAGTTTGAAATATAATGTGTGTGTGTGTGTGCTGAAGTTTCAAGATTGATAGGATTCTACTAATGCATTAACACAGGTCATACAGATGGCATTATGCAGATCATACGGAATACAACACAAAATCCCACACATTTATCATCACAGAATGATAGCTATTAAGTCACTATACCTATAACTCACACACAGCCCTAACTATAGGGCTGCAACTAATTATTTTCATTATCGATTTATCTGTTTATTTTTTTCTCAATTAATCGTTCTGTTTATAAAATCAAAAACTAGTGAAATGTGCACATTATAAATTCACAGAGCCCAAGGTGATGTCTTTAAATGACGTGTTTTGCCCGACAGTCCATTTACAATAATAGGAAACCAAGAAAAGCAGATTATCACATATTGGAAGCCTGAAAAAAGATTGAAAAACTTAATCTCCTATCAAAACAGAGCTAGTATGATTTGTTTTAGCTATTAGCCTGCTTTAACACAGACAGACATAAACATACATAGAAAGAAAGACAGATACCTTAGCTCTGGGGTTGAGGTTGCCAATGGCATCAGCTTTAAAGTCATTTTTATTCTTCCTGCATAGCACAGCAGTGATGATGATGATAATGAGTGTTACTACAGCTATGGGGGCCAACACTGCAGCGATTATCCAAAGGTTATTAGGAGGGTTCTTGACCACAGCTGAAAAAAAGAAAAACACTTTTTCACCATCATCACTTCATTACATGGCACCCAGTAGACTCTAAACACTAAATGATAACAGTCAGTCCACTAATTGGACAACTGGAAGTATAATACACAGCCTACCTTTCCTGCTAAAACATGCAGAGGCATCTATCACACCCACGCCAAGTGACACAGTATACAGCTCAACCTGATATAGTGTGCCTGATTCAGCTATTGTAGGCAACGATCTATAAGGGAATGCAACGTGCTCTCTCTTTCTCTCTCCCCCTCTCCCCTGACCAAGTGTCTCCCCCCTTCTCCCTTTCTCTTGAGCAGCACTGCAGCCCAAACAAACAACGTCCTGCCGAGAGCATTTCAGAGAGATTAGAGAGCAAAGAGCTTTCTCAACCTTTTCTTCTACTCCCCTCACTCTAGCACTGGCTCTTTTTTCTAAACTCAGCATGAGTCATGTGTTTTCATGTCTAGTCTGTCAGTGTTTCTGTCTATTTGCCTACTTGTCAAATGCTAGAAAGATGCTGTGCTTACGTTCTGCTTGCAGTTGGACAAAATAGCCCAGGGTGAGCGCCATGGTCTGAGAATCTACAGTGTTCAGAACCTTGGCAGCTGACGTGCCCGTTAAAGGAATGCCATTGTGTTGGACGTAGTAGGTCATCTCTGCTGGATTCTTCAACCCTGACACCCTACGGATGCTCACCATCTGATTGAAAAAAGAAAAAGGATGACATGTGTTTCCTTGAACTATAATACACTCAATATCAAATGTTATTGAATGGCTGAGAAGGAAACAAAAAGTAAAACCATGCAATAAGGCAAGGAGTCTCATGAGAGGGAAAACCACATGGACAGAAGAGAGTACTTGCTTAGTAAAACATTCCACCTCTGGCTTGTTTTGATGAGCAATTAGCAAGGGCTGACCACAAGTAATCACGCAAGAGTGTGCAGAAGTGTGTATCAAAGTGTTTATCTCATGAAATATTCATACTGTAAGATATAAGCCAACAAAACTGTTGGATTAATGCTTTCATTAGACTTCTGAATAAAAAGCAAAACATCAGAATAATAATCTAAAATGATTTACTGTTTGCACTCTCTAACCCTGTGCATCGCAGACTGTTTGTTCTTCCAGATAAAGTGAGACGAGGCACTCCCTGTTGTGTTGCCGTGCCAGTTTCTTACCTGGACAGTGTAGCTGCCTACAGCAGTGGCTCGTCTGAAACGAGTGCCCTGCTGCCCTGCCAACACAAACAGCTCTGCCAGCCGCTGCTCCATTAGACTGGCAAAGCTCTGGTACTGTCCCTCCAGGCTGGTGTTATCCACGTCCTGGATCACTGCAAATGTAGACGCAACATAGAGGATGGCCAGATGGTTGTTAAGAGGGAAAATAAATTGTTTGGCAAGGAAAAATAGTAGCACAAAGAAGGAGGAGATTATTAGAAAAATAAGAAATGTGTATGTGAGAAAATATACACACTGTGTGATAAGACGGTAAGACTAATGCAGGATTCTCAGGCTGTAAGGGCCTTATAAGGAAGCTCATGTCCCTCTGTGTTTGACGTATATATAAGTTGACAAGCTGTTATTAGCCATAACAACTTGATAAACTAAGGATATCAGGGCTGTGTTTCCTGGAAGCTTGTTTTGCTTGTTTTGTCTTTCTGTCCCCTAGTGTTCAACTTCACCTAATGCAGCTTTAATCTGTTCCATTTTATCAAAAGTTGAAAAACAATAATTGTGGTTGTACATCTTGTTCAGTGTGAGTAAATCCCATTATCAAGTGAATGACCTTGAACTGACTCAGCAGGGTGCAGGGTTAAGAGCTACACAGCCTGATCTGAAAGGACCATCCATTATACAGTATAGCAGTGTGGGTGCCCTTGAACAATGTGGAATATATTCATGTTGCTCAGTACACCTATTCATTCATAGATCCAACAAAGGCAATAGTAAACAAACAGTCCAGGAGTTGTAGGCATCTAAGTGTTCCAGTGAAATGAGACAGTTCATATTATAAACATAAGCAGATGTGTTACTATGAATAGTGCCATGTATGAATTCACAATTGTAGAGGTACATGTCTTCCACATATTCATGTGTTTTTTTGTGTCATGAAGTAGAGATTTATAAGCAGTACGGACAGAGCAGCAAGGGAAGATCAATACATGATTTTATTCCTGCATTACAGTGAATGGATTGTACAACATAACACACATCAGTTCCCCCTAAAGATAGGATTTTTAATATTTGTAAAAACAATCATATCCCTACCTGTAATAACCCAGAAGTCTCTGGTAGCAACGGAGGTGTTCAGATTATGGTACTCCATTGCTGCAAGAACATAAAAACATAATTATTTCCCGTTCTCTGCATCAACATTAAAAGGTTAAAACAACTGCAGACCTAACTTAAGGTTAAATCTAAAGAATCACATGATCATCTTTTGGGAGGGGCTTTCTATGCCTTTAGTTTTGATACAGCTGAAGATAGACAGGGGAAGGTGGAGAAACAGAGAGACCCAAGCCGCTCTGGTAAGGACTCATCTTTAGTATGTGGTGCACATGCTCTACCAGGTGAGCTACTGTGGTTCCCCCACATATGCCTTTTAAAATTTTCAGCTGTGTGTCAACAAAGAGCTGCAGTCTCAGTCAGCACAACAATTATAAAAAATATATATTTTATTTTCAAGGCTGCAACTGTTATTGCAACACGTGGTGGTCTCACAATCCAGACATCTGTTATTTGAGGAACCATTGCTTTTAAACCTGTGCCAAATGTATAAAAACCTCGGAAACTCCATGTGAAGGAGGGGAACAGTTTACAGTTTGCCGCATTTTGTGTGGTTGAAATCTCAGTTTAAAGGCTCATTATCGCTGCATGTCAGACAAATACAGAAGCAAGGAGAGCTTTCGGCTGTCTGAGCTCTGGTTGTCTCTGTGTTCTGTTACATCTATTTCCTGCCTGATTAAGCTCTTGTGCTAGAGGCTGGTTCAGTGTTTGGGGGGATGCTGTATCACTGGCCTGTGAAAGCAGACTCGCTACAGAAATGTACACTCAAGCATGACAGGAGAGAAGAGAGAGGGGTGGAATGGGTGGGTAGTTGTGTGTGGGGGGGCATGGTGATAGGTACAGTAAGGGCATTGGGATTGTAAATGGATAGGGCTTCAGGGCTGTCAGCAAATTCAGTCCAACACTGTCTATAGATTTGATTTCATGTGAAATAGTAATCAGCAAGACGGTTTCACATGAGCCATTCCTGATGTGTGATGAGACCCTGGAGGACACAAACTGAAGAGTCATTCCAATAAGTGAAAGAAAATTCACAGACAGAAGGCTATTCAAATAATATTTCATATTTTACATTAGGGTTATAGTTATCGTGGTTAGAGTTTTCAAGGATTGGTATGGTCTAAAAAGAGACATTTTGTAAACAGGTCCACTCATATTCCACCTGAGAGAGTTTGTCGAAGAGCAGAGGGGGAGTAAAAGAGCTGAGCGCAACCGTCCGGCCTACACAAGCGCCACAGGAACTACAGAGTACTTGGTGCTACAAACAGGCACTTCGGAGTGGTGTGAGATCCCAGGCCTTTTTCTGTCAGAGCAAAGCCCAAGGTGGTATGAGAATCCCCCACTGTTAATTATTTACCGTGATAATTGGCTTTGAAGTGAGGAGGCAGCCGCTGCCAGCATATGCTCACACCTCCTGTGAACAGTGTAATATCACTAATGGCCAGGCTACAAAACAGAGCAAAATCACTGTCACACACTCTCTCATTCTTTCTTTTACTCTCCTGTCCTACTGGGTTTCTCTCTGTGTCAGTTTCGGCTCCCTTCTTGGTATTTAGTTGCCTTCCTCTCTTTCTCTGCTCCCCAACCTAATCATCCTGCCTGTGGGCTTACTTTACTTTCTAACTTAATTCAGTCCCCTCACAAAATGAGTTTTAATTTAATGCTCGCTAGCAGAAATTGTATTCATCTTGATTTAGACAGCGTGTAAACCAAAACTGCTATCTGCCCTCGGTGACACTGATGCTGCATCCTTTGAAGACTAGATTTAAGTGATGCAAGCCCAGAATTTGTTTGTATTTGGTTTAGTCATAATCACACCAAAGGCTCCCGCATTTAAGGTTTAGAAAGGCAACCTTCATTTTCTCAATTTGGAGAAAAACAACCTCTAAGTCGTATGTATCAGTATGTTCTGTGGCCCTCAGTATCCTGTAAACCATTGCAAGCTGGTCAATAATGTAATGATACATTGAGGTTGTCCATATCATCTAGTAAAGTAGGGAAATTCTACATGCTTAGGTATTATTTTTTAGGTATTGGTTTCAGCTGGTCATCAGTCACCTGTAAATACAGTACATCACATCTGGACCAATGACAAAGCAGGAGGTAAATAGTGGAGGCCAGGCATAAAGATGTCTAATTGAGGAGGGAAGCACAGTTTCAGCCCTGCTTTCACATCTTGCAAGGGACACACAAGCCCCTAAATTGGGAAACCGTGTGTGTCTTTCCATGTAGATAGATATAATCTAACATACTCCAAAAATGCTTGACTGACCATAAACTTTTGGTTTAAAATTCTACTAAATATAGTCCGGCCAGATATGCTCTGGGAGGTAAGAAGATCCATTTAACCCACTAAATTCAGCAAAAGAGAACAGTAAAGTTTAAAAAAGTGCTTTCAAGAATGAGTTCTGCTAGATGGTATTACAGGGAAGCCCCTGGCTTAAATCCTGGCTCAAGCATAAGTTCTGCTGTAACCCTGAGCCTGATCTTGCATAGCCAAAGCTCTGTCTTGTCAAACCGACCAAAGTCTGGAGACATTCAAAGCACTGGTGCTGGTTAGGAACCACTAAAATTAAGCCAGGGAGACTTATTTCCACTCAAACAGAAACCTAACCAAAAGTGCAATTTCCAGGCGTGGGCCTCTGCAGATCCACAGACAATCCAAACTCCTTGACCTCCTTGAGCTTGATAAGACAGAGGTTTGGTTACACACGATTACATTGTGCAAGACACTGAGGCCCATTTTGCCCGTATAACCGATAACACCATGTATACACAGGAGGCATATTGTGAGCAGCACATTAGAAAAACAGCAGTTCAGTCCTCTGTCATTGTCTACACAGGATGCGTTCAGGCACAGTATTGAGTGCAGGTCACCTGTGTTCTGGCAGCACTCAGAGCCCAACACACAACCACTGTTGTTGAAAATAGACTTGAAGAGTCTTTGGGTCGCCTTTTGCTATTGCAACCTGATACAGACACCTGTATTGATTGAATATAAGAACATATCTGTTTCATCAGACAAGCGTGAGATAGACTGCTGCTGAATAGGGAAGATCGTTTATCCTGCTATTGGCTGCTATCTGTAAGGTTTAAGTAAAATGCATTGACTTTAGGGTACATGATGGAAGATGTATTGCTTTAGAACAATGATAGAGAAATACTAAATTGTTTAACGCACATGTTGACACTAACAACACAAATCCACAATGTAAAGTCTTCTTCCCGTTAGACATTGAGCCTGATTTTTCCAGGTGATTTCTGGGTGAAACTGTGTATGTAAAAGGAGCTTTAAAGCCTCTAAAAGCTGCAGCTGCCAGGTTCTTTTGCTGAACCTATAGTCTAAATTTACTGTAAACGAGGTCAAGCGAAACAGTGAATCTCTCCTTCAAGGATCAATAAAGGACCCAAAGATGATATCTCATTATATCTCAGAGCTTGGCATCTGCCATATCTTCCTCTACTGAGCAGTTTACATATCATTCCCCAGTTACACTGGGGATCGAAACAGGCTGCACACTGGGACTCCACTAAGATTACTGTTTAGGCTCCCGCTGATTCCCTGTCACTCTTCATTTGTTTTTGTCTGAGTACAACTCTAACACAGATGGAGCGCTAGGCTGTGTATGCCCTCAAAGGAGGCTAAGATGAAAGGCATGTTAGTTGTGTCTTTGCATCAACCATCTTTAAGTGACTCAATCATTAAAATACAACTGTGATCGTAAAAGCAGCGTAACAGTCACAAACATCCAATTACTGAGAAGCTGGACGTCAGTCAGGCCTAGCAATTGAATTCTAGCATTCTACCATTGCCCAGATAGATCTTCTGAGATAGTCTGCTTCATGTGAATGCCAAAAATGCTCAGGAAACCGCCACTTTCACTACATTTAATCAACTGCAGTTTTTAAGGTCAGATCGAATCCTAATTTCTACTAGTATAGTGAATCAATATATAAGTTTTTTGTCCAAAGGTCTAGAACCAAAGATGAGAGACCGGCATGCTTTGTGAGACACAGTCTGAAAAGTTTATATAGAAGTTCTTGTAGGTTTCAGCACAAGGAAACAACAAGAAAATTGTTGAATCTAATTTGTATTTGGGGAAAAAATAATTCCCAAGAGAACACAAGAACTACTTCTAGTGTCTCCTCTTGTAAGGCTGTTGAATTACCCCTGACTAACAGACATATTTTTGAATGCAAATTGTAACTTACGCTCAGCAATAACAAGTGGTGGATAGAAGAGGAAGTAGCCCACCAGCTCAGCTGACAGCTGACCAAGGAGGTTTGAGGCAGTGGTGCCATTAAGGTAGACAGTCCCATTCCTCACAGTGTAGACCAGTGACACAGCAGGAGATGCTACTGCCTGGGAGACACTCAGCATCTGGGCAAAAAACAGGAAGAATACAGGCATAGAGCACAAGGAGAGCACAGAAAAAAAACATTTATATAAGTATACCCACATAACATTATTGGGATTACATTACTGTAATAAGCACATCTAAAAGATTAGTACAAATCTTGTAGAGAAAAATTACATAGTAGAGATGACAAACATCAAAGAATTAATTATTGTCATTGGATCAACAAATATGAAAATTGTCAAGAAGCACAACGGCTGGGAAATTGGCAAAGCATAAAAGAGTGCAAAAATATTGTAGTACTTCATCGATGCATAACCATCAAATTAGCTTTAATATAGGGTGCACTTTAATGTGGCAGCTCATTAAAATTAATACAAACATTGCCTCCCTAAACATAATTAATTTGTATCTCAGAAGCAGCTCTTGTTGAAAAGGCAAAGCCTCATACACTAAGGGACAATTTTGCACAAATTGCACACAGTTTCAAACATCTGTTTGTAGCTGCCAAATCACCTCCACCACATGGTAACATTGATGTGCAACATGGGACAAAACTGCTAAAGATACATCCATTCTAATATGCTGCAAAAAATGTTTAGTTAACTGTAGCTGTATACACCATTTATCTAACTTCTGTTTGGGTTGATGGATGGTTCTCTTTATATTGACATAAAAGGTGACATCAAATTGTTTTCATCCATTTGAGTACAATGACACCAGAACACTACATTGCAAAAGTTTCAACACTGGCCCTATGTTAAAAAAAACAGCATTACCGCTATAACAGTAAAGAGAACACCTACAGAGTAGTAGGAGTGCAACACAACTGTTACACCACAGTACCTGAACAGAGAGTCTGTTGTTTGTTTTGAGCACTTTGGCCTGCGCTTCAGCAAACACCTTCTCAAGTCTCTGTTCCATCATTTGAGAGAACCTACAGGACCGCGGATCATCACCTGCTCCCACAAACTGCAGCACTGGAAGATAAAAACAAAATGAACTCATAAAACTGTACACTAGCAGAGCTATTATTCTTCAGGATGTTACAACATTGTGTTTTGCTATCTTTGTCAGTGTTGGGAACACTGAAAATATTATAGCTCTAATGTACCTAAATTCTGACATGCAATATTGTCATTTCCTCCTCTGATGTGGTATTTATTTATTTTTTACCACTCAAACCTAGTTTTCACAGACATTTCTCCAGTGCACAACAACAGTACAACAACAGCAGGAACAAATAACAGTAAGTACTAAGCTGATCTCTGACGTTTTTTTTTTTGTTTTCATCCTGACTGAACACTTGCTGACCTGTTTTCAGCTGGAAGCCAGTGGCAGGGCTGGATCTCCATGATGCAACTGGGAGGGGCAGGGCTGTAACCATGGGGAGGTACTGTCGTAGGTCTGCAATCAGCTTATCACGACCATAGGAGTCCAAGCCTTCCAGCACAACAGAGGGAGGGTAAACAATGTCCCCTCCAGTCACATGATAAGCCACTGTCATGTTGGGAGAACCAAATACTGTCTCCACCTGGAAGGGTAAAGTAGAGAAGAGAATTAGATGTCTCTGAAGAGCCATATTGGTAGTTCTTACCATGTTTTAGTGCATTTATTGTGCAATGCTTATACCTGAGAGGGAAATATTAAAGAGTACCCTTTGGAGCAATTTTACATCACTACAGCAAGGTGAGCAGTTAAGTCACTGGAGGTCAGCAAAAAGTTAAAAGGTTACGTTAGAAAAAAGTACATTTTCTAAAAATCCACTTTAAGGTGAAATAACCAGACAGGAAACAAAAGTAAAACCTTGAATTCTAACCAATCTATGCTGATTACCAAATCATAGGAAATAAATACCAAATAAAACAATAGTTCAAAATGACATGAAACTACTATATTCCATAATCAAACTGTTAAAAACATCCAAACAATATAAAAGCACACTAAGAAGAAAATAAAGTCCTAGTCTATGTCCTCCTTACAAAGTTCTGGGTCTACTACCATAGTCCCTGTGAGATAAAAGAAGTACTTTACCATACTGATGCAAAAGTAGTGTACATCCAATCTTAACATAAAACTATTTTCTGCAGAATTGCGGCTTGAGTTGCATTACCCTCAATACAAGCACAGGTAGTGACAGCTGCTTCTCTATAATCGGTATGATACAGTTGACAAATTTTGTCTCGTAGTATCCATCATACTGCCAACCATTTTGGTTTTTAGAGTGATCGTCTACGTTTCAGACAACCACAGGTTTTTATCGGTATTCATCAATACAGTACGAAAATCACTTGCAAACACTTCATTCCATGAACAGAAAGAAACTGTTACCTTCTTTACTTTATTTCCTTTGTCAAAGTCATTAAATAAAATAAAATGTAAGTAAATAATAAAATCAGTGATGGCTAAATTCCATTTAGCTGATTCAGTTTGGGGTCTTTGTATTGTGCATGCTAGCTCACTGTCACATTGTCACATAAACAGTATGTAGCCATTGTTAATGGTTTTAGGAATACCTGTGCTTTTCCTACTATGAAAAGTCAAAACCTCTGCTGTGAAAAAGGCCTATCTGAAGCAAGTTTCAAGTTTATTTTCATACCATCCTGAAATGAAAAGAAACTATCCACTGCATGGAAGCTATAGCAGTAATGTACGTCAATCGAAAATTGTAGGCTTTGAAAAATGGTCGGCTGTGATGTAAAATATTCATAGTTAATCGGCAAAAACCTATTCGTGGTATGGTTCTTTAGGCAGGATCAGAAGATAGTGTCAATCAGTCATATTAGCAAGTGAGCTGAATGACAAGATATTGAACTGCATTGGATTGATGGAGCACAGTGTATTCCAACCACTCACTAATGAGCAACAGGAGAGAGTGATTATGGAATACAGATGTGTGGGGAGAGGGACTGAAAGGCTGCTAGGAAGAGAGTAAAGATGGGCGAGACATGGGAGAGACTGTCAAATAGGGAATTTGGGACAAAGAGGCTTATGTTCCTTCACTTCAAACCCTAGAAGCCAGGTATCACTGAGTTCTCGATCTCACAAAAACACAGGTGAAATCTGTGTGTTGGCGTTACTGTGTGTCATGACGCATGACAAATATACACGTGTTTCAGGAAGAGTTTGACTTTTTGGTGAACTGTACGTACCGGAAAGGCAATGATGACAGAAGTGGCGAAACTAGGTGCTCACGTAGGAGAAGTGAAACCATTCAGGTCTGTAATCTAAACCCATCTGAAAGCTTGCGCTGACAAGGAGATCCACGGGCCAAAGCACTGAGAGCCTAGTCTGTGTAGCTGAGAGTCACCATTCTGCCTCCTCACAATTCAGCCTTGTTACCAGCTCTGTGAAAAGAGCCCTTTATTATCACTCCATCCTCTCAGGCTTCACTCATGTGAAGGTGTTATTAAGAGATTGCATTTCGAGCAAGCCAGAGATTGGTAACACACCCACTAACTTTTATCTCGAAGAGTGTGAAAGACTGCCAAAAGATTAACCCAACGGATCTCAGTTGTTTTATAAAAAGTTTCAAGTCACTGGAGAGCCCTAACTACAAGACACACAAATAGTTTACTTTTATCTTTTTAGAGGTTCCAAATGTTTTTAGTCTTGTGGCTCAATTCATTTAGTCTATTTCTCATCATCTTTTTAGCATCAGCACAGCACATCGCGCTCCTCCCAACCATTTATAACCTATAATTAAACACAGAAGCAATTTCCCTTGCCAACAGCTTGCTTCCCATTGGATGAGAGAGCAGTGCGGCTGAAAGGAACCCAAGCAATGTTAAAATGGGTGACAGGAGTGCACTGAAGCAAGACACCTCCAGAGACTACACAAAGACAGAGAGAGAGAGTGAACATGTGAGAGCATTGACCTTCACATGGGCAGGACAAATACACAGGCCTCACTCTCAATTATCTGATACTTCCACATTGAGAAATACAACACACCTTAATTTCACAGGGTTGCAGATATACAAGTAAACACGCACACACACAGAAACATGCACACACAACACTTGCTCAAAATTGCAACACTCTAAAGGCACTCCAACCCACTGGAGACTGGGAGGAGATATATATATTTTTTTAGGGAAGGAATCTCATTGCTGCTTCATTTCCATTTACTGCAAACTGTTTTTTACAACCAAATCTAATTCTATCCTACATTTTATGTCATGTCAAATGTATGCACAGAAAACAGACAGCACTTTACCAACTAGCTTTCATCATTCCCAGAGGAGCTCTTTATCTCTCTGTTTTTACGTACAAGCACTCACATACTGACTCAAAAACACATTTCTACTTCTCACTGACTGAATTTTAGCTTTTAGCTTCTCAAAGCCAAGAGGTGCTCCTGATAAAAAGTCATACTGAGCGGCGGTATTAGAGGCTTATAGGAGAGAAAGAATGGTTTTGGCACAGTGGGAACCATGATTGGTTCCACAAATGGCTAATCCACAGACATAAAGATCATTGTGTGTGCACTGGATCTGTTTGTGTCATTATTTCAGGGGAAATGCTGGGATTGGTTTCATCCTGAGTTTTTGTTAAACCAAATATGGTGTCTCCGCTCCTATGGTAAGACTGCCTTTTGGTGAAGTGTAGACGGATTCTGTAAAATCTGTGCTTGTAAATAAAAGCCTATTTCTTGTAAATACGGGAGAATTGGAGCAACAGTTCTTTTCGACAGCAGGGCTACAGTCCTAATCTACATCGTGTTGGTACAGTTACTCAAATATGTGACATCCCCCACTGCCTTCTGGGACAAATTCAGTCAACCTAATTTCTATATTAGTCCTCATCTCTTCTCACATAGCCTACATGAGAGTCCTTGGTATAAGTGTCTAATTCACTTCACAGTAATAAACCTCCAGATTTTTGTGAGGGTGCAATTAGGAAGCATTTATTGTTCGAAGTGTTAGAAGATTGTTTGATTATTTAGCCCGAGTGCAAGATCAAGTTTGGTTTAGTAAAAGAGAGTTCTAGCAGACTTTAGTGGCACCACCTAAAACAAGGTTAACAAAACCTTTTTTTCACTTTCTGAATTCATTAATTCATCACTAGGTGACATGGGTTGTTTTTAAATTGTAGGAAACTTGCTATAGCTGTTCAGTCTGTGTGTAATCCTGCTAGTCAATGCTGTAGACATAAAAACAGCTGTTTGGAATTGACTTACTGACCAGTAAGAAAATACAATACTTTCTGAATGTAAACCAAGCATGCTGCTACAAATCAGCCTTCAGATTAAGATAAGTCCTTCATCTTAAAATCGCTTTTGTGACATTATCAGTATCAAAAAAGCTGTGAGAACTTCCTGTATCAATTGCAAAGTTTTCAAAGCTATACCATTATATATATTTGTGAAGTGAACTTAAAGATACCTTGTGGAGTCACCACTAGTAGTGCTGTGGAGCAATGTTTTTAAGAGTAGGTCCCTGTGTTGGAAGTACACCCATGTGCATGTGCACATATGTGATGTAATACATAGTCCTGCCAATGGTTTCATATTATTCCACTTTTAACAGTTGTTGGTGGTAACATACTAAGAAATGTAGCAACAAAAGCAAGGAAAAGAAGCTGCCAAGCAAGCAAACATGGATGTAAACCATGCAAGTTTCAAATTCTTCCAAAATATTGGCTTTATAAATGTTTCATACAGAAGGTAATGCATTCAACGAGTTTATTAAGCCTCATGAACACAATGTGTTTTGTTGAGAACCAGAGAAAGTCACCATGATTGTTTATAAAAACTCCACAGGGTATATTTGAGTCTAAATGAATGTAAAGTCTATAACAGCTGTGTTCGTTGACTAATTAACAGTACTGATAACAGTCTGACCTGAGCCTGGGCTGAACTATCATTCAGAGCTTTTCGGAGGCCCTGGCTTAGTCCCCTTCGCAGGTTCTGCCTCTGAATGCTGTCCAGCCTGTTTCTTCTCACATAGATGGAAACAACTAAGAGAGATATGGAGACAGAAAGACAGACAGACAAAAAAAGGGAGAAACCAAGACAGACACCGGACAAAACATATTAGAGATATAACCAAGTTTCATAATTTTTTTAAGACTGTGGCAAAGGAATTGTTTACCTGTTTTCACCCACAATCTCTCTGTAATGTTGCACTGTTGTGGCGGAGCCTCTGTGGTGGTAGTAAAAGGCGAAATAAAGACGGTGCTGGTCCCCCTGGGAGGGCTCGTTCTGGGGACAGGTGGTGTGAACGTCCTCCTGCTGGTTTGAGACCTGGCGGTTGTAGTGGTCGTTGTTCTCCTGGTCACAGGTGTGAGCTGTGGTGTGGTAGTCGTGGTAGACTGTGTGGTTCCGGTGGTGACTCTTAGGAAAGGCGTGGTAGTGGTGGGCTCTTGAGTTTTGGTGGTTGAAGCTACAGTTGTGGTGGTAAGCTTGACAGAGGCTGTTGTGGTGTCCTCTCGAGGGGGCAGGGGTGATACCTGAGATGTCCTCTCGGTGGGCCCAGCAGAAAGGGTAATTCTGACTGATTGAGAGGGGGCTAGACTGGCCACTTTTTCTTTGGGGAAAGTGAGCGCAACTGCTCTGGATGTTCCAGCTGTTAACTCATCCGTCCCTGTCTCTGTAAGGACAACAAATGTCTCAGTCACTACCTCTGAGCGATCAGAATCTATTAATGAGGACAGACTTGGTGATGAGGTTGGAAATGTGGCTGGTACAGCTTTTACAGACACAGATGATGATGATGCAGTGCCTGGGTACAAGATCAGTTTCATTGATAATGTCATACCATCTGAGTGTAATGTTGATGATGACAATGATGAGGAAGACGATGAGGCTGATGAAGCTTTATAAGACACTGGAGTGAAGGGTTTCATATTTAAGGAGGTCAACTGAGAAGCTTTGATACTACTGTATGACAGTGGTGAAGTCTCTGAAGATGATGATGAATGAAATAAAGAAGATGATGGCTCTAACTCTGTTGGTAGGGCAAACCCCCCCAGTGTCTTATCATTTGTGTTGTTGTTGAAACTGAGTGCAGGGTTGTTTGAAAGTGTGACAGAAGTAGCAAATGCAGATTCAGGAGAGTCGACATCTGCCAGAGGGCGGCTGTGCTTGCTCTTATACACCAATGCAAGAGAAGAAGCTTGTGAAGATGGTACAGACTCAGTAGTTATGTGAAAGAGGGGCAGATTACTGTCTGAACCCCATGCAGCAGTATTTAAAGTGGCTCCTCGCTGTACATTGACAGGCACAGCCGATATGAGATTAGATGCAGACAAATTCAGACTCTGTTCTTTATCTGCTGATGTGCCTTTAACATATGTAAAAAATGGATGCTCTCCAACAGTTGGATAAAGTGAATAGGAATCGCTGGTGACTACAGTTGGATCAGTTGAATTCAATATATGCACATTATGCTCTTGTCCGTCTTCCAGCTTTGGACGTTCATATGATGGTCCATCTGCTTGTAAATTAGAATTTGCCCTATCAAAGCCAATAGATGTATTTTCTAATTCAGAGGCAGTGCTTTGAAAAGGCACAGGCTTGGTGGCTTTCCACTTTGTATACGGTTCCATTATTTTTGTGCCAAGGCTGAAAATAGCACTAAATGGTTCACTGCTGTTTTGTCCATCACTGGAGGAAGTAGTTGCAGCAGAGGAAGCAGTGGAGGAAATGGTTGTCTGTCTGCCTAAATAAAAATTTGATTTATTGCTTGTCAAACTGTTGATTGGTTCCTGAGAGTGAGAAGTAGAGTTTGTCCTCGGTTTTAGGATGATTTCTGACCAGGAGGAAAGAGTAGACTGTTCATAACGGGACCTGAGTGTCACATCATCTTTATGAGAAAGACTTTTCAGGGGTTCTAATGCAGCATCAAAAGTTATTGGGGAAAAAGGGATTTCAGTGGAAGATCCTTTTCCAGAATCTTCAGAGCCTTTATTCAATATAAAGAACTCTTTTGTAGTCATGAAAGAGGGAAACTCTGTTGTGAACTTCCCTGATCGAACACCCTGCTTGTAAAACACAGTGTCTCTGATTAGAGTTGACTCTTCATTTCCATCAAATAAAGGCGAAACTGAACTCTTTGCAGTGTTTCTGTGGAAGCTATCAGCAGGCCACTTTCCATGTGCCAAGTGAACAACGAAGGCTGGTGATGTTTCACTGTTTCTTGCATTTGTTTCCACCGCAAAGGCTGAAGTTATACTGCGACCAGCTCTCTCAGATTTTATGATATGAGAAATTTCAGCCGAGGACACTGTCTGGTGAGATTTATTGGGTGTTGTATAAAACTTGTGGGGGAAAGCAAGTAAAGATCTTGTTTGAAAAGGTATTTGTGTGGGTGTAATTAGGGATGTTAATGATGCTTTGGGTTGGTCTGCAAAATTAACCTCACCATTAGCAGACAGGCCAAGGCTGTGATCAGTAATGTTGTGGTTTGGGCTGTGGCTGAGAAGCATGGGCAATACATATGTAGGCCGAGTGGGATGTGAAAGACTGTCATACATGGTTTTATCATTTATATCCTTTGCTAACCTAGTTGACAACGCTGAACCAGGAAGAGAAATTGTCCTACTGTTGGAGGGAATTGACATTTTTGGCATCAACCATGCTGTAGGCTCCTGAGTTATACCCTTGGGAGACCCTGTTTGTGTTACAAATTCTTGAACGTTTATGACTCCATTACTGGGCAAATGAAGTGAATCTGACTCTGATGTGGAGGAGGTTATGCTTGTTCTGGCAAACACACTGAGGATGGAACCAGTGGTGGACTCCGGCCTCAGCTGTGTGAGTGAAAGTGAGTTATTCGGGTGTGCTTGAGCGGAAATAGATTTGAGCTCTGCTTCTGCTATCTCTCTTTGGTTGTAATTTATATTGATGGCAGGAACTCTGGGGCTGGCATGACCCGTTGCCATCAGTAAATCACCAGGATTAGATGCATACTCTGAGGACACCATGCCAGAGTGGATAGGTGTTAGCTTAGTGATTGCAGTTTCAGAGAGAGACGTTTTACCTTGTGGAGACTGGGAGGAAAATTTAAAAAATGATCCAGTAGGTCTGAATGTCATTGCTGGCGATACAGTTGGATTTACAGCATGTGAACTCAGATGTGACATGATTACATCACTTTTGTGAACAAAAGTCTGACTATCTACAGCTGTCTTGTTTTCCTTTTCTGCATATGCTGTTGGATTTAACATCTGCTGTGTGACATGACTAGAAACTGAATAGCCTTTAGGATGGGCAGACAGCAGTGCTGATGTGGGATTTTGTAAAACTCCCTGCTGCCTTTGAACAGCTTGACTCTCTTGATTAGGAGGAAATGAGGTGCTAATGTCAAGATTATTGGCTGATACAGAGTTCATACCTGGGTTCTGGGTTTGAGTGGGTTCGTATAAATTCTTTAAAAGAGTTTGTCCATTCTTAGGAGTAGAATATGATGCATATGTGCTGGTTGCTGGTGTCTTTATTACTTTTGTACTTACACCCCTCATGTAGGTTCCACTCGCTCCATGGATTTTATATGCTGATGAGTGCAATGAGTGTTTTGTCACTTCGTTGCTCTTTTCAATGCTGGTTGCACTTGGAAAGTGTGATGGTTTGGTTGTTGTTCTTTGCAGACTGTCTATCCAACCCAGAGACCCTGCTGGTGATAATATTGCTGTTTTTGTCTGAGGGGCATGGCTGGATACAATCCTTTGACTTTGAGATGAAGAAGCAGCTTTGTTTGTCCACTCAGAGAAAGATGGTGGATAGAATAGAGTCACTACAGATGGTAACACAGAGGACGTGGATGGAGCTGATGGAGACACTGATGATGACAATAAAGAAGATGATACCGTTGATGATGAAAATGATGAGACATTCCTGTTTCCATCCATAAAAGACACATGTGATGGCCTAGAAACAGTCGATGCCATGATAACAGTCTGAGGGGGTGTGGTATGTTGATGAGACATGTTATAAGTCAGACCTGAGCTGGCGGGAAGGATCCTGTCTCCCGCAGACGATGAGGAGGACATCTCTGAGCCCAGGCTGGAACTATGTGAAGGCCATTGGGTGGTGTGTGTCTCGACCCTGGTGATAGTCGGTGAGGTTCTACTTTGATCAAGGCTCACCGGATGTTTGACAGTTCCTGCCATGACGGTTAAGACAGAAGAAAAGGCAGGCTGCCCAGATAAGCCTTCACCCTCAGACTCTGAGTCACCATCTGAATGGACGACTGAGAAAGGCACCTCCCCCGCCACCGACAGGTCAGCCAATGGATGAGCAGGAGCAGCTGTGACTCCGGGGTCGCTCAGTAAAGAGGAGGAACCAGAGGCATCATAGGTGGGTTTTTCTGACAACAGAAAATATGACAACAAAGAAAGTTAATATTGGTAATCATACCAACAAAGACCTACTTTTAAAGCTGACACTAATAAATTAATTTCCAAGTGGGTCCATTGAAATGCTGTTTTGAAAATGTCAAAACACTTACAAGGAACTCTTAAAGTGTTTATAAGTTGCAAGTAATGGCCTCTTTCATAACTCATAAACCACCCTACTAATCCTAACTAATCCTTGATAGATCAGTTATAAAACATTATTAAAAACAACTTTGGGGATTTTTCAGGCTAATATTAATATTTGGGAGTTTAAAAAAACGATATATCATCTTTAAGTAAATATCTTTTGTTTTTTTTTACAAAAACACCTAACATAAACAAACATCTTGATATGGATCCCTTGGATTTTTTTTCTTCATTACAAACTAAGCTAAGCTAACTTAGACATTTTACAAATGAAAAATCAGTTTTCCAGTGCTATCTATGGTGACACTGTTTTCCAAACCTCAAACCAAGTTTGTCATTTCTGTACTGCAATTTCTCTGTACTTATCAGCCGACATATCCATCAATGCCATATATCTGCAATATGCTAATATTGGCCTGTATATCAGACTAGTGCTAGTTGTGATAACCCCCCTCTGAGTGGTGTTTATCCTTTCTATTTGGTAATAAAGCAATTAGAAATTAAGCATAGCGTTAGTTCAGGCAGGCCACGAAATCAGGCTCGTTCTCAATTCCAGCTATATCATATGATCACAGCTAGCTGAAACACACATCAGCTGATGGCTCAGCTGATTCCTCCTAAGCTTCCTATTGGAAAACTATACACAGTCAGCTGATGGCTCAGCTGATTCCCTCAAGCATCCAATTGGCAAATATCATTCAGGGCGTCTTTAAAACTGCTTCAGCCTGCCTATCTTTGCTGCTTCCTCTACAAGCCGTTTTGCAACCCACCTCCACCCCAGCTCTTCCTTATCTATCTAATTAATCAATGTCATTTTCTGATTGGCTTTGATGCTTGCTCTGTTCGGTACCCTGGGGGGTCTCTGCTGCTCTCCTTGTCTTAAACTTTACATGTATGCACATGGAAGGCAGGAGTGTGCTCTCCCTGCCTTAGGTTTTCCACATAGGGCACGTGGAAGGGCAAGGAGGTCCCAAAACAGACCATACCACCAAATGTAACATTCTGCTTTGGAATAAAAGTTATTTTGACAAAAGTGGTCCTGACTGAAATGTATTTGAAATGTAGGGAATCCATTAATTAGTACTAACGGTTTCCTGTTTTCTAATAAGCCACTGAGTTTGTAGTTATAAATGTCAGTAAGTTGTTAATAAAAGATATTTTCAACAATCCATAATGTCTGCAGCTGTGGAAAACTCATCTTGGATGCAGTATTCACAAGAAATAATCTGCTCAAAAAATTCATTGCCACAATCTCTTTTGCACAAACTCCTGCAGTGTATTGTTCTTCACTATTTTCGGTTTCATTGCCTACACATTATTGTTCTGTACTATTATTGGTTTATGCACTGACTTATAAAATGTAACTTAGTCATCAGTTTACTCAAGGAAGGAAAAAGGTTGGGAACCACTGTTTTAGGGGACGATACAAACACAAGCCAAATTCACAACCTGGCCAACTAAAGGTGCTCTTGTTAATGGCTTAGAAAATCTATAAAGCATTAGTGAATGATTTATTCAAACCATTATATAGGGTGCTTTATTAGAAAGTGGTAACAAATTCCTGCAGTCTATAAGCCAAAAAACTGTATAAAATGACATGTTGATGCTCTGTCCTATTAACTGGCAGTGTGAAAAATCGTATTGCCTCAGCAGTGAGCATATTCATTCAGTCTGCATGTCAGCACAGAATTACCTTCTCTAAACATGACAGATGAAGCCATTACAGAGAGCCAGGTATGTCACATCACCGTGTAAGAGGCCTGATTCGAACAGTACATATTTGCAGATGGCTGGGATGTCATGATCAGTTCTGACGGTGTTACATACGCTGTCAAAGTTATAATAAATAATACGTTGATTTTCAAGTCTGGTGTTTTAATTGACTGTTGAGTGGTAATCGTTTTAACCTATGTGCCAAGGTAAAAACAAATCACTAATACTACTCACACACCAGGTTTGGAGGTGCAAACACATCTTTCTAATAGTCACAGACAGTACACCAAGGGCAGACATTTATGTATTCCCAAAGGAGAAAGAAAGAGACAATCTTCAAAGTGGAACAAATAGAATTATTCAAGAGATGGCAGCTGTGTGCACAAGTATAGCTAAGATAACGCTACTTCTAAAAACACACAATGGACTCATGGTTACAGTGTTTGTGCCTTTGCAGAAATTGTGCCTCAGTAAAAGGCAGAAAGGGAAAGAGAGATATGAAGGTTTATATTAGAGTAACTATGATAAAGATACTGGAGGGGATTAATGCACCAAGCCGGCTAACGTGGAGTTGTCTCTCATCTACTCCTGTCCTCTCCTCTCTTTTTATTCGCCGCACATCCTCAACACATCCATATAGGGGTTCTTTTATCCATTTATAAAGCTTTGCAGTCCTGTCACACCTCCCACCCCCTCATCATGTTTCCCCTGCTGAAGTGCATCCAGCTAGCACTCACATACAACTCCTTCAGTGTTAAAGGGGCATCAGCAGGAGCAAAACTGAATTCAAGGGCAACCTGGATTGCAAAAGAATACTCACAAATCATTTCCCCCTATACTCATTGTCTGATTTTGCAATAATACATTGAACATGACCTGTAGAATTGTGAGAATTGTCCAGTGCATACTGTGGGAATTACTGAGGCTCTTGAGTGTTTCATGTTTTCTGAATTACATCAGCCTAAGGCAAAATGTTCTCACACAGCTGGCACCGTAAAGCCATCTGAACATTTTTTTCTGTCTTTAGATATTTGCCAACAACTGTGTAATAGAATCTAATACCTACAAATCCAGGTCACTCACTCTGAATGCTTTCTTAAATGTCACAAATATCCCAGAGAATGTGCAAAATGTTTTTTACAATTTGTTTTCAAAGAAATACATCTTTGAATTGTATTAACTGCAGTCCCTTCATGCTGTATTAATGATCCCATTTAATTTCCTTTCTTCAATACTACTACACTAATGTGCTAAAATATGATTAGTGAAATTGCTATGCTGCAATTCTTAATCCATTCTTAAAGCAAAACAAAGGGAATGTATTTCTGTATTCACAAAAGAGCTCTAAGATAACAAAGGATATGTATCCTGCTTCAAGGCCACTGAAAGGTCAGTCAGTCAAACCACCTGGTGATCAAAATGAAAGAGAACTTCCTGTTACCCCTCCCTCCCCTGCTTAGTGTGCCCAGTGGCAACATGAATTTGGGTGCACGGGATGGAGGCCAGTACGAGCGGAGGTGTGGGGTCCACCTGTAGTTTGCCACCTGCTCTGACTGAGCTGAGCATATGGGAGGATTTCAACAATGAATGAGAGAGGACATGGTGTACAAATAAATGGAGATAGTGATAGAGACAGAGAGTGATGAGAAATGGAAAAAGAAAGTCACAGTGACCCACAAAGACCAGCAGCTGGGTTAAAAGACTGGTGCAAGAATGAGAAAAAGATTGAATGATGAATTTGCGGTGTCTGCAGTCTGATGGTCCTTCCCAACAAAAGTAATTTATTTTCATGTTCCCTCATATTTTTAAGCTTTAGTCTTGAAAGCAGCTTAACAGATGATGTCACATTACTATAAGCAAGACTATGTAACACTTGTATGTTTAAGTCAACTTAGTTGTTGAAGTAGTTGTAGTAGGTTTGATAAACAATTAATTGTTTTAATCATTCATCAAGGAAATACACACTGGTTCCACACGCAATTTTAAGATGGATTCTTGGTTATGGAAAAATATTGTTAAAATATTGATATTGTTCAAATGTTTGTGTGAGCAAGTAAAACCTTAACAAACCAACATTTTCTTTAGCCTCTTAACCCACTAACTCGCTGGTGGGTCAGTCTTTATTACAAACATGAACATTGATTGTTCAAACCCACAAAACTGTATTTGCAATTATAGTGTTGATCTTTCCAAAAAATACCAAATATGTCTGAATTTTGGGAAGTGTGTATACATATGCACAAGATAATATTCATGGTTGCCGTAAAATACATCATATAGCGTCAACAAGTTGAGATATGCAAGAAATAAAAGCTGGGACGGTAACCTCCTGTAAAAACATGATACTCCAAACATGTATGATCAATAACATCATTGATTTTGGTATACTTCTTCAGTAAAGAGACTGCTACATGATCCCGACTTGTCTCAAAACCCTTCTGCAACCAGCACACACAAACCACAGACCTCATTTCCACACTCATTTCTTTCCCACTGCAGCCAGCGCTATCTTTGAGCTACCAGGACACAGACATGACACTGCCAGGGCTCCCACTGCTCCACTCATATTATACACTGCTTCTCCTTTTGCTTTAAGCTGTTTTTGTTCTCTTATGTACAGAAAATGGTAAACAAGAGAGCATAATTCAATAGTGAGGTGGATAGAACCCTGGGAGCAAAGAAACAAATTTAAGAAACCTGGTCAACTGCCTCTGAGGAAGTCCCTCCTATGTTTTGGCTGTTTATTAAAGGCGGCAGCATATACAACTGCTTAGAGCTGTTGTTGTTTTTGTATCGAAATTATAAATAAGTGCTTCAGTGGAGGAGGTGGAGTTAAGAATTTTGATCCTAACATGTGCATCACACATACCCCGTGTGTTTTTCGTCTGTGTACGGAGGCATCATGTCTGTGCTGGGCTGGAGGAGGAGAAGGGTGACATAGATGCCAAGCACTGCTGAGGTGACAGTATGGATGGGAGGGAGGATGTCACACACAGCACTATGCTTTTTTATTTATTTATTTTAGAGGGTGCAAACAGCACAACAGGCTGAGACATGCATCAGCTGTCTGGAACACAGCCCAGCGGAGACTTAACCCTGCAACCACGCAGAG